GGGGGGGGGGGGGTTCGGATGAAAGGCCAAGTGAGCACGTTCCCAATTGGCTCCGTTAATAATTCCCAGGCTTTCGCGCACGAAACTGCCATTGGGTCACTAAATCCTACACTCACCTACATAACCGAAACTCTGGCATTCCATTAGCATTGTATACAGACATTTTCGTCTTTGTAATAATATCAACGGTATACGTTTAATTAACGGGTTGTTTATAGCTGCAACGGTGAGGTCTTACCCGTGGTAATTAAACTCGTAATTTTAATTTAATTTTTACAATTGGAAATTTTTTTTTTGAGAGCTGAAGAAAATGCAAATTTTTAAGAGATCGATCGGAAAATCGTACGTTGGAAAACACAACTGCAAAGCCGTTATTTTTCAGTTAATTCTCAGGATAATTAAGATTTGAAATTTTCATTAGAAAATTTGATTGGCAATTACTCCAGTTTTATTGGTTCTACACGGGTTTATGACCGGGGTTCGGAGGCGGAAATTTGCCAAGCAATTGATTAAACCCATCACCAGTTTAAAATTTTCAAAAAAAATGGAAAATTATCACCTTCATTAAAAGACTTTCGCATTTAATCTTAGTATAAAAATTACAACTATCTACGATTTTTTTTTTATCAATTCCAATCAATAGATCGGAAAATTCCATCCGGAAAACACAGCTGAGAAGCTTTTCTATCTCAATTACTTCTCGAGATGATTAAAATTACTAATTTTAATGAATCCGTTTGATTGGCAGTTATTTCCACTTCTATTGATTTTAGAGGTACTTATGACCGGTGTTTGGAACCGGAAATTTTCCACCCTAGCGGATGGAACCACTCCCACCGAAACATTCGACAATTCCGATTTTTCAAGTTCTCCCATTTCACAGTACACTCAGTAACGAACCATATCACGCCTGTCCTACCTCTCGCGTGCCCGAGTTTTTCCAGGCAATTGCCCCCGGGGATTGCCAGGTTGAATCCCCGAGTCTCTCCACTACGTCGTAGCCCCAACGCATATCCACCTCTCAAATTTTTATTTTCTCCCTTTTTTCTAGAAGAGAGAGAAAAAAGGCGAGAGACGTGAAGGAAACGTTATCGTCAAGTCCTCTTCACGTTTTCAACTCTTTCACGTTTTATTTCATTTTATTTTTGTTCAAGGCTTCTGTTTGTTCCTTTTTCATTAACTTTTTTCTCTCACTACCTACCTTCCTGTCTCGTTTCTGCTTGCATTCTGAAATGTATATCTGTAGCTCCTATGAGCCTCGCTTAATGCTCGACCTATTCCGCTTGAGCTCAATTGAAAACTACGATCTCTGCACAACTTGATGAAAAATCGTGATCTGACGTGGAAGTTACTCGCTTTGAATTTCCATTTCGAATTCTCTCTGAATGTATATCTCATCATTCAGATAATTAGAACAGTAGGATTAATTTAATCCTAATTAGACGCATTCTAGTCCTGATTGGGCCCAGCCTAGTCCCAATTGGGCCGGGCCTAGTCTTCATCGGACTCATCCTAGTCTCAGTTGGGCCCAGTAGTCTAGTCCCAATTAGACCCATCCTGATCCCAATTGGGCCTTGCCTAGTCCCAATTAGACCCAGCCTACTCCCGATCGAATCCTATGGGAAATTTTCTGTGAAAAAAATCGCCCAAGGCTGGGATCGAACCTGCAACCTCTCGCGCAGTAGGCAGACACGCTACCACTGAGCCATTGCACACGACTGTGACAACTTAATAAAAGTGAAGACCCTAAAATCGCAACCGACGTAGAAGTCGTTCGCTTTCAATATATGTCTTCATTCAGATAATTAGAGAAAAAAATTTTTTTTCATTTCCACTGAACTATTAGAATAATGATGAATTTCCCAACCTCAAAATCCCGCATCATCATTTTTCCACACGACCCAGACTGCATAAATAACAACTTGTATTTTTTATCCTCCCAGGAACAAGTTTGTTTGCCGTTGCCGCTCACGAGTTCGGTCACTCGCTGGGGCTTGCTCACAGCTCAGTGAGAGGGGCTCTCATGTATCCCTGGTACCAGGGGATATCAGGGAATTATGAGCTTCCGGAGGACGACAGGAACGGAATCCAACAAATGTACGGTGAGTGAAAAAAAAAATTATTTCTCGTTCCTTTCAGTCCATTTTTCCATTATCAGTTAAATTCATCTGGTCGTTCGTGACTGATGGAAAAATAACTGAAATGAATTTAAATTGATTATCTCACTATTTAATAATTTTATTGCAAAACAACACGAGATATTTTTACTGAAAATGTCATAAACTCCAAAAAATTCAAATGGAGATCCTAAAGGTGCGGTTGTATTAAAATAGAATCGGACGAATAAAATTTGCAAGGGGAGGAACATTCGGGCTTTTATTTCCGCTATATTCACATTCACCGAAAAAACATTTTCGTACTTTTGAAATTGTCTACCTTATCTTGGCCACCGCAATGGAACCCGTAAAACGGGGGAATGGTGAAATTGATACTATAGGGATGATATCAGCTTTGAATGCAGGACAATTTGAATCGAGAGTAGGGAAAGTGCGTACTGTACCAGCCGGGTTTTGTACTGTAAAAGCGATAGCGCACGACCAGTGGTGCAACTCGGTCGATAGTCGGGCGATGGTACAAACGGTTACACTATTTTTCGGTTTTTTATTTGAAGGTTTTCACGGGTTTTATTTCCCATCCATCAAAGTAGTCTCGTCGGGGGACTGTAAGATGATGGGTATGGGAATTTTATTCCTGTAGTTCTGAAAAGGGGACGATTTTATTCGTGTCTGGGACCAGTGGAGGCGAATTCGATGAAATTTCCTGAGAATCATCTGTTTTTCGGACTTATCTGCGAAAATAATGGAGTTAGGAGAAAGCACTGTAGAACCTTTTTTGTAGCTGATGAAATTTCCCACAAATAATGTAGTGTGACATTTTTCGATAAAACTACTCCTCACTGAGGTAATCCAATTTTTAATGAAACGGAAATAAATTGACATTTTATTCTACAACTGAGAGCTGACTCATCGATTTGACTTTCGTTCTCCACTGGAATCTCAATTGTTGTCGATCCAAGCCACTGCTTCCGTATTCTTCCCCCCTCCCTCGCGTCCCAAACCCCCCCAAGACGGGCTGGATCGCCCTGGGGTCACCCTGAAACATGAATAAAATATGAAGAATGACCCGACTCACCAGCTCATGAGTGATTTACGCTACCTGCAGTGCTTTTGTGGCTCTGCCGAGTGGATTACACGCTGTCACTATTTAATCCCCGAATTTTCCCCGACTCTTTCATCACTCATGAGCTCATAAATCATGAAGGAATGGCCAAGATGTCACATTCTGGGAATTTTCATAAGAAAACGTGAAATTTTGAGGTTTTCCGTGAAATTTCAATACTTATTCGCTCCTTGTAAATTCTTTTCACCGAGCAGAGATCTAAGGAATAATGCAGAAGTACCTCATTTACCCGGAAACTATATTGAATCAAATGAGGTCGTCTCTCCCTTAATGAAACACTAAATTTCCCGATCTATTTAATGAACTCATTTCAACCCCAGGACTACCTCAGTCTTCATCTGAATTTCAAGATGCAGCTGGGAGAGGTTTCTCCCTCATCCCTTGATTAAAATTTCAATTACGGCCGATGAATTAAAAGGAAAAATGCTCGTAATAAATTCAGGATTAATACAAATAAAGTGAGACAGGCCGTTTCATTTTCATTAGTTTGACTCGAAAAGGGGTAATTATTTACTCGCGCGTCAACCACTCGACTTTATCGTCCCCCGGTTGCTTCGTAGTTTCTCTACTCTCCTTCTACCTTCCATTCCCCCTGCTCTTTCGAGCAGACGTCCCCGACATTTCCGGACGATAGAACTAAAGGTACTGCCCCTCTCCAACCTACACTTTAATTCCCAACCCAAGTTGTCTTCCTGTCGTCTCTTCAACTCATTTCCTCGTTCTCCATTTTCTTCGTTCACTTCCGCCATCAATTTTGCAATTTTAGTTGTTTAGAGTATTGCTCGGGGTGGGGGACTACTATTTTGAATGGTGGAAAGAATAGCAATGGATACTGGCGATTTTTAGGGGGAATGAAGGTGTCTTGATGCTTTTTGGGATTTTGGAAGATTCGGGAGGGAGTCGGAAAAAGTGGGGCAGAACGGTGCGATTTGAATAAATTCATATGTTTTTGTAGCTCATGAAAAATGCTTCAAAATGACTCAAGATTTTTTGAATTTCACTCTGCCAATCTAAACTTATCGTTAAATGAAAGTTGTCGCGAAACTTAATGCTTGTGTTGCTGTAAGATTCGCGGGGCAGTCCGGAAAAGTGGGGCAGAACGGTGCGATTTGAATAAATTCATAGGTTTTTGTAGCTCATGAAAAATACTTCAATATGACTCAAGATTTTTTTAATTTCACTCTGCCAATGTAAACTTATCGTTAAATGAAAATTACCTCACACATTCGACTCTTGCCCATCGCATTAAAAAATAAACAATCACTCCCCCAAAATTTCCCGATCAACCCA